AATCAGGACAGCAGAAAGCTTGCACATCATCCGGAGCAGACTGAAAACTCATCTCTTTCGACTCCACTTTGAGCAATACAATTACTAACAAATAATTGCTAACAAAGCACTTGTATACTAATATAGGACTGGCTTATCTAAAGCCAGTTGAGTAGGACTTGAAATGTTTTGGCTCTATGAAACCTGATGTACTTATATGATTCTGTTTTCTTCAAGTTTGTATCTTCCTCGTCGAATGCACTTATTGTAAGTCGCTTTGGATAAAAGCGTCAGCTAAATGCAATGTAATGTAACTGCACAAAAACCCCTTTGTGAACGTTAATTTGATCATTAAGCAATAAAATGCTGACTAATACATTTAACAATAACACGTTAACATAATTACATAATGTCGACTGAGAACAATACAGAAAGTCACTTATTGTAAATTAATGAATAGTCTTAAAGTTTGTAGCAAGCTGTTTGTAATAATACGAAAGTTATAGGCTTTTTGAATTGTAACGTAAAGATAACATTAACATTTTACTTCAGAGCGGCCATAACTAAAATACTAATTAATGTTACTACAGTTGACTTCTGTGATGCTGAACAGACTTCATAACGATGCTCAGTGGCCACATTGACCTTTAACATTACCAATACAATGTCTGAAAGCCTGATTAAACATTAGCATAAAAGCATTGTTCTCACCGTCAAGTGCTTTGCTTCAGCTGAAGAGCAGACCTTCTTCTTCTCTGTGAGACGTTCAGACCGCCAACATCTACAGCTCCTTTTCGCGCGAAAACTTCCAGGCCCCAACCGTCACCAGCGAGGTTTGCATTCATTGGTCCAAATCCACCAATCATAGGAGGTGTTGTTACTCTAAACGGGCGAAAAAAAACAGACATAAATCTGGCACAACCTAATGGCTGCCTGTGAGCAAAACAAGCCTCACAAGTCCATGCTTTACCTAACATTATGTCACTTGATTAAATCATCCCCAAAATATGTAATGGGAGATATGCACTTGCAAATGTTACACTGAACCTGGCTGGTAAATAATACTTCAAATGGAGCTTGATTGTTGTTTCTATTTGTGTGGGTTTATTAACAATACAGTAGGCCTATCCATTAATATACATTTAGCTCCATTAAATATTTGTATTAAAGTGTGAAAAATGTTAAACTTCAAAAGGAAAATACATTGAGATTAAACTGTAAATTACTTTGCTGTACATGAAAATAAATATGTAATGTTTTCAGAATGCTCTACATTACTTTAATGTGATTAACTAACTAAAAGGTTCACTGAACTGAAAGTGTTTGAGACACCGTAGATATACAGTATGTTTACACAACCTTAGCGATTGACTCTTCAGGTATTGAGCCAGCAAAGCCTTGTGGCCTTGTGCTTCCTGACACCAAAGGCAGCTAGGGTCTGGACTAAGTCAGGGTGAGCGAAGCAGGCAGGAGCCCATACAGGGTTTAACTGAAAGTACCATTATTTCAAGGCTAAAGAATATTTACATATAGACCAGAACTCCCTCCTTAGTGAACAGATTCAACATTGACAAGGATCTCACACCAACTGAAAGACCAGCAAGAGTGATCACCAAGACAAGACAATACACAGGTGGGGAGGGAGGAAAAACACAGGAGCACCAGGTGAACACAATAAGGCAATCAAACAGCAGGAAAACACTGAGACAGGAAGTAAGAGCAGACATAACTAGGGGGGGTGCACACCTTTCAGAATAAAACGGGAAAACAAAGACATACAAATTAAAACACAGATAGATCGTGACACTAACACTAACACTTAATTGAACTGTGAAACTGACCATGCCCCACTGCTTGTCCTGCTGCTCATTTTATGCACAGTCCCTCTGGAATGGGGATTTTCAAAACATCTTCCAGGTATGGTGTCGGGTCCACAAAGAGTTTCTCAAAGATAAGGTCCATTAGGTCCTTTTCATACCCTGTGCAATATTCACAAAAACTGAATTTGGCTTTTCTAGCTTGGGGAAAAAAACAAGGACTTGAAGTCTGTGTCAAATGTTCTTATAATGAGATTTGAGGCTAGAGTGTTTTTTTCTTTCGTTTATACTTATTGGCTGGGATTTCAAAACTGTGGTGCCATAGTAAATACAACATGGACAATACATTATTATTATTATTATTACACATGTATGTGTATGGAAACTAAAGAAATATAACATTTACGGAAAGTTGGCACCGTCTTCATTGGCTCGGCTCCAACTCCTGCCTTCATGTTAGCATGTTCGTTGTAGTATATGGCACTGGCAGGTAGAGTCTTAAAGTAAAAACACAGGAGACACTCATGAATGTAAATAATAGCAGTCCAGAGTCACACCACTGCCTCCTATTTAGATCTTCCTTTCTGATGTGTAAATTCTCCACCAACCTCATTTCTCTGTACAAACATAACATGTATATAAATGTATATCTACATATATATACATATATGAATAAAAAAACGTGTTGCTCTTGTGGTCTATCGTATGGTGTCATATTGAAACATCTGCAACTGCATGGCTTTGAAGATCTATTTAAAATTAAAAGTAAAGTTTATGTAGTAGAATTTTCAATAATTTGATTTGAACAAGCTGCTAAAGATTCAATAACATCATCCATATGCAATGACAAAGTGTTCTTCACCTTTTCAAGTCAGAAGAAAGAGGGCTGGAGGTTCCCGGCTGGAGTAATTCCAGGAACAGGTTGGCTATTCCAGTGCCGGGAGTACTGACAATAGGTGCAAAGCTGTTCCACTAAAAGGAATGTACCAATCCTTTGGGTCTTGACATCACAGGCCCACTTGCACACAAGACACTTCTCAAACAGCTCCACAATGCAGGTCTCATATGATTTTCTTAAATCTATGGGGGACTGGATGCTTCACCACTGTAACACAAAAAAGGTTAGAGTATGAGCCATTTTGCAATTTGATCCATCTATCTATCGATTGATCAAGTGGCTAAAATAACAGAAACACTGTGGTCAGCGCAATGCAATACAGTTCTACATCACCGAAAACGACATCCTCCAAAGTGATCATACAGTTGAATCAACATTTCTCTAAAATACAGTTCAAACAGTAACAGAACATTATAACCTCCATGAGTGTAGGTTTCTTTGCAGTGTAGTAGGGACATTTGAGTAACTCATGGCTTGTTGACTCTGTTGAAGCAACGGTCAACTCTGCAGGGTCGTAGGTCAGTTCCAGCTTTTCTGAATCCACCATTTGAAGAGTCCTCCTCTTCTTCCTCCTCTAATGGCCAGTATTGGTCTCTTCAATCAATCAATCAATCAATCAATCAATCAATCAATCAATCAATCAATCAATCAATGTTTATTTATACAGCCCAATATCACAAATGTTACATTTGTCTCAGTGGACTTCAGAGTTTGTGCAGAATATCAGTATGACAATACGACACCATCTGTCCTTAGACCCTCACATCGTACAAGGAAAAACTTCCGGAGAAAACCCACAGTTTAAAGTTTCTTTGATAGTCTTTCTTTTGTTGTGAGTACTAACACAAATCTATTATATTGAACATCAAATGTCACCTGTGTTTAACCAGTGGTGCAAGTACATTTACTCAATAACTGTACTTGCGAACAATTGACATATTTGACATTAACATATGGTTCAGATATCCAGCAGCAATATACAAAGTAAAAAAAAGTTGCTCCAAAGTTTGCAGAAACATTAATGCATACAAAATAATAATCAAGAATATTCATATATTTTGTATAATTTGAAATGGGCCATAGAGCACAACAAGTATTTTTAATTTTTAGGATTAAGTATCATTCGGAGCTAATACTTTTGTAATTTTACTCAAGAAAGATTTTTAAATAGAGGACTTTTATTTTTTATAATTCACCATTGCTACTTTTACTTAAATTGAACATGACACACAATTTCCCACTACAGGTAATAATCCTCGTATATTTCAAAAAAATACAATATATTCATTGACAGACATTGTTCAAATATTCATCTCTGTTCTGCAAAATAAATCATCCTACACGAATGGATTACAATGGCAGAGATTGCTTGACACTGAAGGGGATCTTACTTTATTTGAACTGCCTTTTATACAGCCACCAGACACTTCTGTGGAATCAGCATACCCTCTAGTGGTAAGAATAAGTCATAAACCACTCACCAATGATCTGACAGTTTATGTGTGGCTGCAGCTGCTGGTGGAATAATAGGTGGTGTTATGCTGGGATAGGATATGTTATGTTTGTGATCGAAAATGGTCCCTATTGCTACTGTACATGAATATGTTTGAAATGGTTATATGTGTAAGGCTTGTTTATCAGACCTTGAAAAAGTACTGTCTTTTTATTTTATTGTATAATTTGCATTTACTATTGATTATTATGTTCTTTGCATAACCATCTACATACCTATATTTTGGATCTCCTCAAGGCAATGTGACCCCTGTTAATATTCTCTGGGGCAGACTTTTTAATTTAAAAAAATATATATTTGTTTCCTTGTCCAAGAGGAGAATGATTTTACTAAGCCTACTCTCAATCCTCGCTAAAGAATGGATTTAGTATCTGGCTCTGACATATTCCATGTTCCTTGTTAGATAGTCTATTAATAACACAATCACTGTTGGCTCCCCACTGAGCTGGTGCACTACCAACAGCAGGGGCTTTGAAGAGGCTTCTTTCAGCACTTGACAGGCTCTTTCTTGATATCCTTGTAGTTAAACCATAGTTAAACAGACACTCAGCTCCTGGGATACTGAGTGAAAGGACAGATGGTTGATGTCAAAGTCCCCACAGTTAGTTTCCCGTTCACTGTACCCTGCAGACACAACTTACAAATATGCAAACATGTGTCATCATATCTAAAACTGCAGTATAAATGTATCTCACAGTCACATACCTTGGTGGGGCCAGTATCAAACATTTGTTTTATGTTGAAAAGGGTGTCATTTGAGGTAATCGTGAGACTCTTACTTTGAAAAGCGAGTAACTTCCGACTTTCTGTTTTCTCCAGGGAGGCGAAAGCTTCCAGTCGACAGTAGGACTTTAATCTGAAAATGGGGGCTTGTCTGGCATTATGCTCTTTAGCCAGCTGTGTAAGTATTTATTTCGTTATGATTTTATCGGTAGGTAAAGCTCGCTCTCGTCGTCCAAACCTTAGGTGAGCTAAACTAAGCTTAGCTGGGCAATATAGCTAGTTACATTAAGCGACAACTTACGTTACCTTCAACATTAAACTAAACCGACTAGAACGAGCCGTACTCGACATACTATAATTAACGCTGTACATTTAAAGGAAGTTGTCTTAGCAATATAGTGAATCAGCAGTGTGAATAGTGATCCAGGAAGTGTCAGAACAGGCCTATATCCTAGAACCATTGCACCGAGCTTATGTTGGATAATGTAGCCTCACCCAAATATCGACTCATCATATGCAAACACCGTTAGTTCAAAGTGGTATGCTTCTGCTAGCTCCATTCTAGGCTAACAGCTGTCTGGTCGATAAAACATTACTGTTACTCCATGCAGTTAAAATTGGCTAGCTACGTCACTGTCAATGTCAACAAAAGAGATGCATGTTTGTTTTTCTCTGTGTTGATTTCTCAAAAGCCAGGTGGAAATACAGCCCTTGCTACGTTTTTTTTGCGAACTGGAATAACATAAGTGTTTTGCCCAATTTTTTTTTTACTTCAACTACTATTTAAGTTTTATATGTGAAGTAAAGGCTTATCCACTTAAATCCGTTATTGCAAATTCAACCTCATGGTTAATAATTTACTAGCCGGATTGCTAATGGAACAACATCTAATTACAAATAGCATTCTGCCAAAGAAGTTGCCTGCATTCATTTGACTGTTTCTGATTTTTAAGTGGCTCGAACTCTGTCTTTTCTCCCTCCCACTCATCATCTCTATCATTCCCAGGCGTCCTGTCTGTGTGGCTCAGCACCATGCCTTCTGTGTGGCTGCTGTCCCTCCTCCAATAACTCCACCATCACTCGGCTGGTTTTCTCCTTCTTTTTGCTGCTGGGGACCATGGTGTCTGTCATCATGATCCTTCCAGGAATGGAGACACAGCTCCGTAAAGTAAGATCGCTCTTCCTCTGAAATGTGTTACTAAATGCTGTTACTACAGATAAAGTTCTGTAAAAAACGTTTGCACATTCTCTACACTTAATCTTTTCTGTACATGCTTATTAACACACATTTGTCTTGCGGTTCTTTAGATCCCAGGATTTTGCGAGGGAGGAAGTACTATACCTGGTTTAGAAAACCACGTTAACTGTGATGTCATTGTGGGCTACAAGTCTGTGTACCGCATGTGCTTCGCCATGACTTGCTTCTTCTTTCTCTTTGCCGCCCTCATGATTCGTGTCCGTAGTAGCAAAGACCCACGTGCAGCTCTTCAGAATGGGTAAGTGCTTTATTAGGCTGTATGGAATATATGTGTAATGGGATGTGCCGCTTCAGTCTTTCTACTGAACTGATGGTGGGTTTGTTAATGTCTATTTCCCAGGTTTTGGTTCTTTAAATTTCTAATCCTGATTGGAATAACAGTGGGAGCTTTCTTCATCCCTGACGGAACCTTTCACACTGGTACTAACATGCTTTGTATTATTACTATAAACAGTGATATGTTTATTTCTGATCAACAGTTTTAGGAAACGTTATAAGCTGTGTTTGATTTCCTCTTCACAGTGTGGTTTTACTTTGGAGTGGTGGGATCCTTCATCTTCATTATAATCCAACTTATTCTTCTCATTGATTTTGCCCACTCCTGGAACAAAGTGTGGGTAGAAAATGCTGAAAATAGTGACAACAAATGCTGGTTTGCAGGTACAGCACTCACTTGAAACAGGGGCTTCTTGCCATGTCATTCTACATTATGCAAAATAATAAATATACACTTGCCATAATATTTGAAGCCATTCGTGTTGAGGTATGTTCTTGTCATTCCCAGGCTTGATGTCTTTCACCTTCCTCTACTTTGCACTGTCTATCATTGCTGTGGTGCTCTTCTATGTTTACTACACACAGCCTGATGACTGCACTGAGCACAAAGTCTTCATCAGCCTCAACCTCATCTTCTGCATCATCATCTCCGTTGTCTCCATCCTTCCCAAGATACAGGTAAGGATCAGTCTATGGCCTAATTTAAACTAATCAAGGTATATTATGAATAACTTCTCATCTCATTTTAAACTTCATTTGTTTAAAAGCCTTTCTGCAGTAGATAAATGAGGATAGTTTAGTTTTGCTCTTAAGTTACTGTTAGGTGCAGTTTCCAAAAGTTATAATAATAATACATTTTATTTGTTAAGCCTCTTTCATACAAAAAATGCATCTCAAAGTGCTTCACAATAAAGGAATGCATACTGTAGATACTAAAGAGTAGGGCTGCACAATATTGGAAAAAACTGACATTGCGATATGAAAAAATACAGGAATTGAAGAAAAGACAGTTATTTTTGTCCGCAAACCGTCCTTTCTTGAACTTTAATGCTATACCATTGGTATTTTTTTAACTATATTTAAACGGATGAAGGATTTTAGTCACGGAGGTCTGGATTTTAAGTTATCAGAGTAACAAGCTGAGCTAGCTCGGTTAGCAGCGCCGAACTGCCCTGGAGAAACACATGAAACTACTTCATTCAGTGTTTTTACCTTTNTTTAATCACCGGGTCCGTTTGCTTTGGAGATTTGATTGTGATTGGTGGTTTGCTGTGCATGCAGAGCTTGCATGTCACTCACTCAAGTAACCCTGACATGAGAGTTTTCCTTTTGTAGCAAGCAGCAAAAGAATTTTAACATGACGTGTTTGAGTTAATTTGCTTGCTTATTAACATCGCACGTCATTTTTTTTTTTTTTAAAACGCACTTCCTGCGAGGTGAATATCGCTATTGTCGTCACGACACGATATATCGTGCAGCCCTTCTAAAGAGTATAACGTAATATGAAAAGAGATGTACTTCAACATCTTTATGGATAATCTGAGATATTTCATTTAAGTTTCAGTTGACTTTTTGATAGAAATATAAATACTTTACCTTTCGTTTCAAGGCAGTGGTTGTAACATTTTGGCAAAGTGACTTAATGTATGTTTGTTCTTGTTGTAACAGGAAGCGCAGCCACACTCCGGTTTGCTCCAGGCTTCTCTCATCTCCCTGTACACCATGTATGTCACTTGGTCTGCAATGACAAACAATCCGAGTAAGTGCCTTGCTGTCTTAGTCCACAGTTGCAGCTCTTTTCGGTTGCTTCTGATTGCATCCTCAGTTTCAATCCTACTTACTGTTTTCTGTCAAAATATGTATTTGCTGATTACCTGCTGCAGCATTTTGATCATTCTGGTGAGTTTTCTATGGCATTTTATAGGAAGGAGTGTGTTTTTGCTGATAGCTAACGTTCTTTCCTTGTCTCATTTTATCTGCCATTCCTCAGGGAATGGCAGCAATGGGAAAGATTGTGGTGAAACTAGGGTTTATTTTATCTACACATAGGACATTTAAATCCATTCAGACACAAAAGTGAAAGCGGTATCTGGGAACAGATGCTTATTTTACATCAGGAAACAGACCAATTAGAAACATAGAACACTTCAACATACGATAGCACTGTTGGGATTGTGCTGGTGTTCCATTGTTTTTCGTTACATTTAAAGAAAGCTTTTTTCGAAGACTTTTAGAAGTTTCCTGTGTAGAGGAAAACCGTGGTTTTCATAGTCATGTCAAACTAAGAGACAGGAATGTAAGAATTGAAAATGATGTAAACTGGGTTATACAAATATTTCAATATTCAAATCACTAGCTGTTCGGACCTCTTCAGCGTCAACACATATGAAATAACACATGTTCACTTCCATTACAGTCAACACAAGATTATGTTTAGTGCAGACAAGCTCACTATGTAATGATGTATTTTTAATAACTTATAACTTAACTTAAATATAGTGTATTTAATGTCTAATTCACATGTGCTCTGATGCCTTAGATCGGAATTGTAACCCCAGCCTGTTGAGTCTGGTGTCGAACGTCAGCTCCACGGAGCCCTCCGCTGACCCAGGACAGGTGCAGTGGTGGGATGCTCAGGGCATTGTGGGTCTTATCATCTTCCTCTTCTGCACTCTCTATGCAAGGTATAGTCAAAACCATCACAGATTAGATTTTATATTCAGTTTTGCATTATATTTTATTTAAAACTCTCTGTCTCCTTCTCTTCCCTAGTATTCGGTCATCCAGTAACACCCAGGTGAACAAGCTGATGCAGACGGAGGAGGGTAATGGGTTTGGGGGAGAGGGTGTGGTGGGAAAGGACGGCATACTCAGGGCCATGGACGATGAGGAGGAGAATGTCTCCTACAGCTACTCCTTTTTCCATTTCCACCTCTGCCTGGCCTCTCTGTACATCATGATGACTCTCACCAACTGGTTACAGTAAGTATGTCTCACTTGCCGATTGTTAAATACTACATAAGAGGCAAGTAGGAAAGAGAAGAATCCTCCTGTCCTTCAGTCATTTTGGCATGTAACAGCAGGAAAGTTGCATTCCTCCTTAATTATGGTAGTTTTAGGGTCCTGGTACTGTGCATGCTGCTCTCACTAGCATGGTTTACAGGGACACCTAATGGAGCTAAACCATTTTTGACAACATTATTTTAACCTGTGGTTTCTATGCTTGATTTCAAGTCAAAAGGTCAAATGGTCCATTGACTAGAGGGTCACTGGTGATCAACAGATACGATTTTGGTTTGATTTTGTTACCAAATTCTTACTGGGGAAAAAAACCATAAACATATTGATAGCTACAGCATATGTAAGAGATACAAAAACCAAAAATAATTTTACTTTCAAAATTGGCAGCATTTGAAATAACTTTTTAAGTTGTAAGCCACAGGTTTGATGCTTCTAAGATGCTCAGAAGTTGTTGCTCATGCATTGTAGGCCTCCAGCACGGCCACCAGAGGGCACATTGCTTCACCTGAAAGTAATCTATCCCTTCAACTCAGCTTGAATGTGATTTTCTGAAATTAGCTCTATTTAGGAAAAAAGTATAAAAAATGTCCAATAAAGTGCTGTTTTTGATCATTCAAAGACAAAATTCAATTGTAATGTTAATTGTTTAAATACATTTCAGTACATACATGTTGTTGAGTTGGTTTGACTAAATGTTCCCTCTGTGCTCCTCAGACCGGACACCACCACGCAGGCCATGCAGAGCCGCATGCCGGCGGTTTGGGTGAAGATGTCCTCCAGCTGGCTGGGCCTGGGGCTCTACCTCTGGACCCTCATCGCCCCTCTCATCTTCCCTGACAGGGACTTTAACTGATCACCTGGTCCTAACTGTATTTGGTTGTTAGGTTTTCTTGGCAAGTGATTTAGGCGATATGAAGGATGCTCTGAAGGAAATAGAAAGAATGGTATAAAGGAAATGCTTTTCTTTTTTTTATAATTAATTGGTGTTCTTATGCTTGTGTTGTTTTACTTCACTCAATATGATTCTTTAGTGGGACAATCCCTACAGTTATTTGATATTTGTAAGTGGATGTTTAGTTAGCCTGAAGTTTGGCTAGAATTTTCTTTTGCCAATTACTTACCTTTAATGACCTACTCCCTACCCGCCCTACCTTCTGCTGGATGTAGTCTGAACTATCACAACAACAAGGCACTTACTCGTTACCTCAGACACTTCACTAACAGATTACCTTTTAAAGGGCCTTTTGAGTTCAGTCCTCTGATTGGCCAGGTCTGGTGTCCTTGATTAGCTTGACTTCTTTCATGCTGGGGCAACCAGGGGAACCCCTCTCCGGAGCCCCAGAGTGAGTGGAGTGTGAGAGTTAGATAAGACTAATACGACACGCCCTTCATATCATAACAGGACTTCCCTCTTGCTGTTCTCTGGATGCAAATCCACGTCATACCACCTTGAGCCGGGGAGTCTTAATAGACCACCAGTGTAATCTCAGCTCTTCCTTCTCTGCTCCAACATAGGATCACTTATCTCCGGTGCTCGGCCTCGGAGACATCTATTGATCTATAGCAGTCAGCACTATGTGATGTGCAGCGGTACGGCTCAGCAGGTGATGGCGTGAAGTTGAACTCTGCAGTCCTCTCACAAATGTCATTATTTCAAGAATGTTGCAAAGCGTGTTATTAAGTGAAAAAAAAGATTTTCCGTTTTTACAATAGTATATACAACACATTTCAGGAGAAATACATTGCTGTAAAATGTTTCGGTATAATAACGGTTGTGATGGTGTTACAATAACTATATGCTTAATGTTGTAGTTAACTCAATTTCAATAAGAATGAAACAGGGTGAAAAAAGAGCAGTATATTTTGTACAAAAAGTCTTGGGTACCATCCTGAAAATGTTATCTTTTGTTATGTTAAAATGTTATGTTTTGCTATTTTCAAAAATTACTATGCCCACTGATATCAGATTTTCCTTTTCTCTGGCTGCATATGAGTATTGTGAATGGAGTTTTTCAAAGTGCTGTGATACATTCAAATCTTTTTTTAATGAATGTCTTTATTGAACATGTTAATTGTATTGTACATTTCATCATTATCCCCCTACTTGGGTGAATATTTAGGCACAATATCCCAAATATTTTTGCCACAGTTATATTGCGACATGTACCATTTTGAAACACTACAAAGTGCCTTTCTGTAGTCCTGCGGCTCAAAAGGAATTTAACACTAATGCTGACGTGTACCTATAACGCCTTGCCTTACATTGTGGTGAGTCAGTCATTGCATGCCAATAAGGGATAGGCCTATGACATGAATTAATATTCTAATCAATGAATAAACATTTGTTTTTAATAAAGATAGAAGTCTTTCACTTTCTTTGTCTGAATGGAACCTCAATATTAGCCTTACAGTTGTGTCCCATGAAAAAAGTTGAATGGTCCTGACTTGTTTGTTACAAGAATGCAAGTTTAAAAACAACAAAACATTGAATTAAAAATGAATTACTGGGATACAATAATTAGCATTGAGGTCAACAATGTTAGGGTTTAGAGGGATTTAGTTGCCTCATCGATGTGACACCTCCCCATCTCTAATGTGTTACCATGGTGCAGACAATCAGATTCCTTTCTGTACATCGGCCCATAGATCCAGGTCGTGGGATACCAGAGTTTGGGACTGATGGTTTTGTACCCCATCTTGTTCTGTACTCTGGGTGAGGCATCATGTGTAGATCAAGCTCCGAAACAAGCCATCCATACGCTTGACACATGACTTCACTACCAGCACTTTACGTTGGACGGACACTGTTTGGCCTTTAATCTCTGCTGTGTTTCCCTGTTAGCCTCAATAAACATTAATACAGTTTCTCTCTCACATCTGTCTTGACCCTTAACTGATGTTGGCTTCCTGTCACAGAGGTCCAAAGTTATATTGAAAGACTTGTGTATAAATAAATATAGCTCTGACCAGATTTTTGCCCTTTTTACTCTACCGAAGCAGTGTCTGACGTGTCCCTTGTTTTGTCACGGAGACAGAGATTCGTGTGCCAGATCTTTCAGCCACTGCTGTGATATTTCCTTCTCGCCTCGCTGGCAGACGAGGCCTGTTGGTTTTGGACGATACCGTCTCTCAGACCAGTTGGCACTGTCTGGAACTGTTCAGGACACACAACCTCCTGTCGACTTTCAACCCGCCCACAACACCACCCCTCGTTCAGCCTATCCATGGAAATCCTGAGTTGATGAATTGTGTCACAGTTTAGTTGTGAGAATGAATTCTCATTTTCCTTTGCATGGAGTGGAGGAAACAAAGGCTTTCCTGACACTGTAGGAAAAGCAGAGCACTCAAATGTAAACATTCATAACTATATGGTTGTTTTGCCATTTGCCTGAGAAAAATAAATGTACTAAAATAATTACACAAACTAGAGCAACGAACATGAAACAAAACAGAAAAGTGTTTGGTGCCATTACAAAAACTCAAGTTTCAGTCTTTCTGATTGAACACTCTGACTGTCTCACTTTTCCTGTGCCACACTTGAAAGCAGAACATGCAAACTGCACAAATGTTCATAATATTTTAGTTTATTTCAACATATAAAATGCTGTTTATAGTCAAAGTCATAAACAATTAAGAAATTAGAGAAATTAGAGGTCAAGAGGCCAAAAACCTCCACTCTCTACAAGTGACAAAATGTAATAAAAAGTAAACTAAGAAAACGTAATAAATTTTAAAAAACTACACAAAATGAGCTGAAAAGAACCAAAGTTGCTCTCTAACAGTAGCAGTCTGTCCACCAACTGTTTTTTTTGTTTGAGTTTTATTGGCTAATCCAAACACAATCTCACTCTTTACTTTTTAAGGAACTGCCTTCAGTCTTGTAAACGTACCTCTTATTTTTTTATTTCTCTGTGATTTAGATATATTTATAGAACCAGACTGTGTTTCACGAAACTAAAGAACTCTGCACTATACTCTCCTATTAGTCCCATTTGAAATTTAACAGCCACTGGACACAGCCAACAGCATCCGAGAACAAATTAGCTAAGTGTCATAAATCACACTTTTATTTCCCCTGTTATCGTGAGGTGTACTAAAAGGAATTTTTTTTTTTCTCCTAGTCTGGATTTACACTCGGTTTTGGTCGTTGACTTCAGTGTCATAAATCCCACCTTCATTTCCTCTGTTATCATCCGATGCAATTTGTCGCTGTAATAAGAGATCAGTGTAATTTGCTGATTTTGAACCACTTAGCTCTGCAGTCATGCTTGGTTTGGCGTCCTGGGATTTTTAATTGCAGATTGACTGAAACAATGGTTAACACTTGCAGTGTTATCCCTGACCTTAATCTGTGCTTCATTTTTCCAACATCAGTCTGGAAATGTCAGCGTCAAGTTGTTTTTTGCCTTCTTCTCAAGAATAAGGCCAGTGAGAGACAAAGCTGATCACACTATTTCAGTGTTTTTTTAAAACAATAAATGAAGCTTGAATTGTACAGCTGCTCCTGATTTGTATAAGCATTATTATGTGAGAGGATTGCACATCCCTGACCACCTCTTTGACAGATGACTGGAAATGCCTGTCTGAGGTGTAATTGGGTTTTAAGAGTGGGACCTAGGCCCATTAAATTATGTGCTGCATGCAGGGGAACTAATTGAATTTGAGCCCTGCTGGCATATGGCATGTGCACTGGAAACATTTCCCAAACATTAAACCCCAATTAGGCTTTTCAGGATGGGAAACGTGTTGCTCAATGAAAGGAAGTGAAGATGCTGATGCCTGTCAGACTCTTTGCTAGTGTCTGAGTCAAATGTGCATTCATTTATCAGCTTGTTTCTAATTAATTGCTCCATTTCCACTGGACCTTTAGGGTTTTTCTAATTTAGTTTGATTACTTTTATTCTCTGGCTGCAGTGCAATAAAGTCACTAAGCTGGAAGTCTAAAAGTCGGGAAATCTGAGTGTGTGTGGGGCTCTCCTGTGCGCATGCTCCCCCCCCCCCCCAGCTCAGAGGAGCAGCTAATGCAGTTATATAACAGTCAGTGCAGCCGGCGTCTGCTGTGAGCCAAATGCCAGGCCAGTCCTGTTACATAAGCCGTCACAGTCATATTGTAGCAGTACGGAGCGCTCACACCACAGCTTGTCCCTGCACTCCTTCCTCTGTCTGTCTCTCACTGTCTTTTTCACCTCTCCTCTTCTTTTTTAAAAGCTCTCCCGCACCTTCCCTCCCTTCCATATATCCTCTCCTTTCCCTCCCTCTTGTCTTTGCTGTGGAGCTGCTCCAACATCAACAAAAAAGACTTTAGGCTGGACGCAGATTCATACACACCTCTAAAAATATAAGATATAAAAGCTCACATGCAGAGAGGATATTATGATGATTTTAAAGGCATAATTTGATTTCAATTGACGCATCAGTAACAGCCACTCTCTGCATTCTTTCTGAAACCGACCCTCATCGGGCTCATCCCAGGTATGAGTGGGTCAGATGGACAGGGTCATCAGATCAGCAGGAAAATCACTAAGAGCTGTGTGCAAACAAACAGTGTCTGTGACCACTTAACAGTTCATACAGTCATCAGGAGAAGTTAATTGATTGTGGCCTCAAGTCCTGACCTCCATTATATTGTGTGTAATGCCATGTCAGCATCCATTTAGAAGTGATGTGCAAAAATGAAACAACAAATCTACTCAATGGTCCCATTTCCAGAGTTGGAAAGTCCTCATTTGGCTTAACCATTAATGCTACAAAGAAGATGTTGTATTTAAAATCACATATTGATAGATGTTGCCAACATTTGTGTGACAACAAAGAGCGAAGGAAAAGCATCAAGTGAGTCATGAAATATGATCAGAACGATTATTTGTACGATCGTATTGAGTGTATGTAGTCACCTACATACAAGTGGAGATCTAAATTAGTGCATTCAAATTAATATTTTATATAAGCTCGTCAATGATGGTTGCATTGAAGAGCAGTTTGAGGGCTGGAGGCACAATATAAAGCAGATTCACTGACACTGACACAGGTTCAAAAGGTTTGAAACATTTACATGTATAAACTCGGGTGTGCAAAAAGAAGGTCTGCACATCTCTGAAATCTTGACTATTCATTCTTAGGAGTTGGATGTGAGTGGTGGTATAAATATTATAGTCTATGTGTGGATGAGATATTGCTGCAATATCAGACAAAAAACTGAAATAAACCAGCTGACATCAAAGGGTGCTACCTCATTCAGTTCCAAATCCTGGTTTAAAGAATGAGGTGGCTAATTAGAATTAAAAGCATTAACCAGGAACTTCTACTTTCCAACCAATGGCTGCCTCCGTTTCCTCAATAATAATCAGGAGGCGGGCTCGGCGCGCCTGTTGATTGGTGGAGGCAGAGAGGGGGGGCGGCACCCATCGGACCTGCGGTGCTGGGTGGTGCGGAGCCGCGGAGTGTGTTTCGCGTAGGGCGAGATGTTGTTTTGTTGTGGCGATCAGCTGAATGTGCCAAAACTGTCCGGTCTGACACAGCAGCGGGAATCACCCCGGGCCCCCCCGGCTCTGCCCCCCCACAAACGCAGGCGCGGAGAGCGGTTCTATCCAGCATCGCAATCCAGGAAATGCGGACTCCTTCTGGCCCTTTCGCTACGGGATAAATGGCTGCAGCGCCCGTACTGTAGCAGCAAGCTGGTAAATATTACACCGTAACACCACTGCCTGCCTATCACTTAGTTTCCGTTGTGTTGCTGCGGCTGTCACGTTGAGGAGTTGCACGGTGAGAAGTTGAGCGCAGGATCCCAGCCGTGCTATCAGAGTGAGAGCGGGGCATGAAGTTGAGGTGCCTCGTTATGTGTTGTGGTGATGATAGTGATGGATAAAGGCTATGGTGAGCTGCAGACAGACAGAGGATCAGTTCAGGGGGGGGGGTTTGGAGAAACTACAGTGCGTGCAGCGCTGCACACACAGCTGACAGCATATGCTTCATCACGTCTGTCCTTTATAACAAACCTGCTGATGAGAGCAACAGTGCGGACTGACACACACACACACACACACACACACACACACACACACACACACACACACACACACACACACACACACACACACACACACACACACACACACACACGCACATTTTAAGATCCCCATTAATCCTTCCTGTGAACTTATTTGAAACTGGATAAACCTACACTTCGCAGGTTTGTAGGGGATGACATCATGCTTTTGTACTCTGTTATGTGATAGATGGGTGAAGTTGAGCCAAACAGGTTTATTTTGACGGATGTTTAATCACTCCATTCGTTTTTTTGACTGGTTTAAAGTCAGACACGTGGTTTATATTTACATATCAGGGTATAATGT